CTTAAGTCATGGCGATAAATAAATCTCCTCGGTATTTTAATACCATTCAGATCCTTAAATTATCAAGCGCCTATATTAAAACAGTTCATGTGACGCTGTAAGTTCACCAACAAAATTATGTCATTTGATTTCTCAACAGGTTCTTTGGTCGATTTGACCCTTGTAGTTAATTATTTATCTAACCTTGACATTCCTTCAATTGATTAGGAAGATATCTAGCCTATCTTAATCTTTGTTTAACTGACCTTACATCAACTAACATGTACACTCTGTCACCGGATACTTTTAATTTTCGATTATGCATATTGAAGCAGCGTTCCGTGATATCTGCAATATGGTTGAATACTGACGAAGATAGTAGGTATGGAGAAACCACGCTGTCTAGAATAGATTTGTAACTCAGAAAATGTAAGAGAGTTACAGCATGATCATTATGGATACACAAATAAAAAAATTAATAAATATAATCTGCGAAAATTTTCATATTTCACAAAAATTGTACTTTCTTACCACTACTTGATTGAAATTATTTTATTGAGTCATATAACATCTTGCCACAATAAGGACAGTAGTTATACAGAGAAAAGAGTTCATTCACATCATATTTACAGAAAATATAATAAAATAGAAGTAAAATAATAATCTTAAAAACAATTATAAAAATAAAATGAATTTAAAGGTTAGTAAAGTAAAATAACACCTTAAACTCAGATATACACTATTTACAATTTACAATCAGCTAAGGCAACTCTAGACCAGGCTTGACCCTCCACCAGTGAAGGGAAAAGCAGAACTCGAGGAGTTCCCTGCGCTACTTTCTCTATCCCGTCACTAGTACAAATAGCCCGTGAAGATTGAGCGAGAGCACTATAGCCACAAATACCCTACCCCTACTAAATAGGAAAAGTATTGGGTCAAATTTTCAATGTGTGGTTTTCATCAGATCTTTTCATTACTTTCAGATTCCTTTGCCCTTTCCTTCATACGCCGTTCTGAAAAAATAGTCCGTAACTTCTTCTGAGAACTCTTCCTTCAAAGCTAAGAATCGAAGCTTTCCGACATTTAATGACAGTCCGTATTTCAGAGCCATAGGACAGTACAGGTATATATTCACATTTTTGAGGAAATCAAGGTTCCTTCGAAGATGTTTATTTAGTGCGAAATAGCACCGGTTTGCTGCTACTATTCTCCTTTCCATTTCCGCACCGTCATTCCTTTCGTTCACCAGTGATCCTACGTATATGAACTCCTAAACCTTTTCAATTACTTGCCCTTCTATTATTATATTTTTTACCTGAATAGACCATCTAGGATTCGCATTAAGGTATTTCGTTTTACTGAAGTTTATCTGTAGCCCCATTTTAGCTGCAGCATTCTTTAGTGCTATAAACACATCCTTGACAGCCTCTAATGACATTCCTGCGATATCAATGTCTTCAGGGTATCCGAGAAGTGATTTATTAAGTTACCAGTTAGTGAGTTATTAGTGAGAAGTGAGTTATTAATTAAAGTGATTTATTAAGGTACCAGATGTCTGGATCTTAGTATCTCCCTTGACATTCTCGAGTTTCAGATCAAATACCAGATACGCGGTGGCTTATGTACGACAAGGAAATGGGGTGCTATTTCCTTGTCGTACCCCTATGTCTATAGAGAATTCAGCGGACATCTCTCCAAAAATCCTTACGAACGAAACATTGCCTTCCATCGTTTTCCATGTGGAGCGCACCATCTTTGAAGGAAAGTTCATTTCAGCCTTCGCTTTACATATTTCTAATCGATTAACAGAATCATACGCTTGTTTAAAATCAACGAACAAATCTGCATTCCTTCGTTTTTTCTAGAAGTATCCGGAGTATATATAGTATATATATAGTCGATAATTGATCGACCTCTGCGAAAGCCACACTGATACGTTCCCGCTTTCAGCATATAGCAACAATCTATTAAAAAGGATTATGGAGAGAACTTTATGAGCACTTGGTAGGAGGGAGGTCCGACGATATTTTTCGCAATACAAGATATACCTCTTTTTGAATATTGGGTAGATGACTTTCCTTTTCCACTCTTTCGGTATTCTCTCCTCTGTCCAGATATTGTGGAGAAGATCCCGGAAGAAAAAAGAAGCTTCGGACCTCCAGTAGTTCTGCCGTAATTCCATCTTAGGAGACTTATTGTACTTAAGCTTATGCAGTGCTTCCTCAATCTCTTCCTCATTCGGAGATTCCAAGTGATATCCATCCGTAATATTCAATAGGTAGAGGATTACCACCTTAGTTTAATGATGATTAAATATGATTCCTCTAGCACTTAAGTAATTCTTGCCTGCCTGTGACAAGAGTCGCGCTCTCTGCCTTGCATGCCTCAGATTTAGGTATAAATGGTTTTCCGCTGTAATTAATCTGTTGGAAGAAATTCCGATGGCTTCTCTCTCCATAAGAGTTTTCGGAAGAGATAAGTCAACTTTTCTACATCATAGGTGGTAAATAGTCAGAACGCAGTCATTTTAAGATTTTTTTTTTGTTGCCGACGTTTCAATCCAAGCATGTGGGCCATCATCAGAACCAATTTCCAGTACTGAAGGTATTCAAGTCCTCATCTGTGAGATAACAAACTTATCACCATATTCCCCGAGTCAGGTGGAGTGATTGCCTCCTCCACCACCCGGAGCAACATTCTAGGAAAGGTGATCCTAAGGTGTGTACTGTAAATTATTGTATATATAGTATGTGTCCATTAGTGTGCGTGCCTTGTGTATCATGGTCCTGTTCTGAACATAGGGTGCTGTGTACTGAACTCGGGAAACCGGGGAGCATTAATTCCTACTAGCCTTGCACTAAGCCAGCCCGCGTGGAAGTGTGTGTGTACCACACAGCTTTTAATAATAATTATTATGTAATAATTAAAAACGCTTATTATATAGTAGTATGTTTAAATATGGTTTTAGGCTATTTAAGTATCCATCGTCCGTCATTTTCATAATATGTCCAAGCCAACTCATCTTTTTCGTCTTAATGGAGTACAAGATGCGAGGTGCTTCCACTTTTTCTCTAATTGTGTTATTTGAAACGTGTTATATGTAGTCTTGATATTCTGTAACTATGTATCCAAAAATCCATTTCCATTGATAACAGATTTATTACTGAGTCGGTTGAAATCGTCTTTTTTTCTGAGACTTATAATACAGTGTTTATGAGGAGTATGCCACATTTAGTCCATAAAACAGAATTTAAAGTACGTATGAACCTTCTACCTCTGATGACTTTTTTATCAGTTCCTCTTTGAAAGTCACCTGGCTTAAATTTGAAATTCCTCAGTTTGGGCTGAATCACGTTGCCCAACATTTAATGAGGAAGTTTCCACTATTATTGAATGCTACATACTCGCTTTTTGTTTTACTGATTTCCAGACCTCCTGCCGAATAGACTTCCAACAGATCCCTCATCATAAAGCAAGCATCTTCCCGTCCTTTGCAATAATGAGGTCACCAGTCATAAGCAAACTTTTCTTCTTTTTTTCGAATAAAAATAAAACTATACCTGTTTCGGTATATTCAAGATACCTATTTGAAAGATAATTATTAAATTGCCAACAAACCTTAAATTTATAGTGGTTTATAGTGAGATGACACACCAGTTCACGCTCACGAATTAGGAAGTAGGACAGTGGCACCGCAGCTCATTGATTCTATTTTTGAATAAGTAAAGGTGATCGAGGCCAATTATTCTTAAACTAGTATGTAACTAGCAATTAATATCGAATTAAAGAAAAAGTAAATAAAAGAATAAAAAATAGCAAACTAAAAATGTTTCTGTTTTCAATTGAAATAAATTGTAAAACTAATGACAGAAAAAAATATATTTAATGTAACATCTTATTTCTAAAGAATTCTTTTCAATTATATAAGAGGCGTTTAGACATTTCACAAACTATGAGACAAACATGTATATAAATGGTTAATTCACAATGTTTATATTTTTGTTTCTTGGTTTTGATATTTTCCATTTGATGTCAGTATCAAGAGAAATAAAATAAATAGTTTGGTTTAGCAATAATATCGCTATTATTTAAGTTAAATAATTGTGTTTCCCATAGTTTGTGGAATGTCTTAACGCACCGTTTAAATTGAACGGATCAAAATGTAGTTTTTAGTTTTTAAAAATTAGTGTTAATTTGGGTCTCTAAAATTGAAGAAATTTAATGTTTATACATACACAGTTTGAAAATACATCTTGGTTTCAAAAACCAGTTTTTGAAAATTTCAATACCTATTACTTATTCTATTACTTACTTATGAAGCGAAAAATGCTTACGTATCACTAATCGGTTTTTAGTGTAGATTTAGCAAATTCGGTCAATTTACACCCGTCATAATATTATTCTTTTTCGTCAAAATAAATGGTCGTACTCTAACGTAAACCATAATAATTGACATTATTGCTTTTCAATAATAGATGCTGATTTAGAAATTTAAATAAACATTATGGTTTATGATTCTAGAAGAAAATAGTAGTGATAAAACGTTTTAATTAGACTTAGGGTTTTATCATGAAAAAAAATAAATCCCTTATACAAATACGTTTTGTATGATATATTTTATTTTGAATGTTTTATAGATAGATCCCTTGAAGCTACGAAAATTAAAAATATCAACATTTTAAAATGAATACTCCAACAGAAGTATGTTATAATTGAATAAAATAAATAAATGTTATTTATGATAACAATCAATATATATGAAAGATTTTAAAGCTAATTCAAACCGCTACCTTTAATATTTGAACTTTTGAAACATTAATGCGTATTCTGAACGACCTAAAAATGATCAGTAATTTAGTAAATATGTTTGTAGTTGGAAATATTAATTGTAAGATTGTTTTTAAATTGCTGTTTTGTGTAAAACAGTTTTTAGTTATGGAATTTTTGAATCGAAATAAAAATGGAGGGAGAAGCACGAACTCTGTGATTGATGACGTCAATTGTAGTTACACTTGAACGTTCGATAATCTGTTGCTCGATTAGGAGGCGATATCTTCTCCTAAAGAAGTAAATTGTTGAGACCCCAATGGATAGGGGAAGTGAAGGGAGTTTCATTGACGTTTTACTTACTCTTATGTGGAGTACCATAGGTACTGCTTTAATACCCGCATTGATACCTTGGATCATTTATGTCATTTGTAATCGGACAGAAGTTGGCAAAATGAAAGGAATGGTAAGCTTAACTGTAATTGAATACTACTGCTTTTATAAGTTTTCTTATTAATCTAACTGAGAGCATGTTATTGTGTAACTTAACTCCAGTAACCAATGCTTTCAACTCAAACTGACCCTTATCACCATTATTATTGTTTTCAGGTGGTGATGATAACAGGTAGTAGTTCTGGCCTTGGGGAACAACTAGCTCATTCATTCTACAAGCGTGGTTGTAAACTGATTTTGGCTGCAAGAAGGGTAACTGAACTGGAAAGAGTAAAAAATGATTTGCTAGACTTAGTAGTTGTGAGTATCGCTACATTTATAACACCAATACTTCAATTTTATTATTGAACTGTTAAGAGCATGTGATTTTAGGAGGATGTATCGACATATGAGCCTGTTATTGTTGAACTTGATTTGGCTGATATAAAAAGTATCCCCAGGAAAGTTAACAACTTGCTTAATACTTACGGTCATATTGATTATTTGATCAACAATGGTGGAATTTCATATAGAGGAAAAATAACTGAAACTACTGTTGATGTTGATCAAACAGTTATGTTAATCAATTATTTTGGGACAGTTACTCTGACAAAAGGTAATTTTATTGATTAATTTATGTGTTTTTTGTACTTGATTTGTCCTATTACTACTACTTTTCTTAATAGTTGTAGTTCCATAGACTTTGTCCTAATATGTGTTTATTCATTTTCAATTGGCGTAATTTTAAAGAAAAATGCCTTTTCTATTAAATTTTTTCTTCTATAAATAAGTAATAATGATCTTTTAGAAGTTATTTCTTCCAATAACATTAATTCATAACCCCCTTTCTCACGTATCATTTACCCTTTTAATCGTGTCCTTGAATATTCTATTTTTAAAGTTAATTTATCTATAACTGACATCGAAGCATATTTCCTCTGTAATTTTATTCAATCTTTAATATTTGGATAGACATTGTTTTGTTTTAGTTTTCTTTGGTGTTATATAATAATTTGCTACGTTTATAATTATATTGTTTAAGCATATAGACGTTTGCAAATTTTAATTTTAACGATGTAATCTATATCGCTTTTATTATTTTATTTTTTCACCCTACCTAGCTATTTCCGTCATATAAATACAACAGTGGTATTGTGCATGTCACTGCCGCTGATACTACTCTCTTTATTTCATTGCATGCTTTAATATATAGAATAGAATAGAAAATAATTTTATTCTGGGACGAAGTCCCTTCAGAATATTAAAAAAGTACAGAAATTAAAATTTTACATCTGGCCAGATAAAAACAAACATAAAAAGTAAAGATAAAGATAAATCAGTAAAAAAACAAAAAAAAAAAAATTAGTTATACATAATATATACAAAATAAAATAAAATAATCTATATACAAAACTCTCGAAACCATACTAAGATACTTAAAACTATGTACAATGGTAAAATATAAATAAACCCTTTTAGAAAAAAATACAAACAAAAAAAAAATAAATAAATGTAAATTCTTCTTAACAGTAAAATCTGTTTTTCTGTTGAAAAAAAAATATAAAATAAAGAAAATAAAAAATATGTAATTTTACATAAAAGGTTAGCTGGTATCTGACTGTTTTTGGAACAGGAATTGGAATAGGAGGGTTTTGAATATAGATAGGGATAAAGAATGTCGGATTTTGATAGGAAGGGAATTCCAAAAATTAACAGAGCGAGCAATAAAGGAGTTTTGGAACGAGACAGATCTGTGAGAAGGAATGTAAAGGTCAGAAGGTCGAGATCTTATGGAGAGGGAGTGGATTGAGGACTTGAATTGGAGAAGATTGTAGGCGTAGGAAGGACGATGATTGTTGATGATATGATAGAAGAATGTACCTAGAAAATATTGTCTTCGAATGGAGGGGATAGCCACTCTAACTCAGTGTAGTGGTGAGAGACATGGTAGTATCTCGGGGCACCAATTACAAATCTCACGCAACTGTTCAATATATATATAGGTATATTTTAGGATATGATTATATATTTTGGAACAACAAAAAAAGGGTATTTTGTGAGGCAACCCGGTTCGTGGCTGCGCACCTTCTGATGGGGCTACATCTTCTTTTTTTTTCTCCCTAGTGATTATCAACCATCCCCAATCTTCTTTCCTCCTTCCAACTCTTCTTGCTCTTCCATGTCCTTTGGCCTTTGGGGTACCAATTCTTTACCTTCCATCCCTTTCTCTTTCTCTGCTGGGTGCTCTCTCCCTAAGGTGATGTGCCTAGGGTCCACCACTTTCTTCTACCTCTTTACGTATTCCATGAAGTGAGGGTAGTTATCCCCTGCCATCAGTCCTGGGAAATCTTCTTCCCCAAGATTGTATAACCCAATTTTCCTTTACAGCCAGACCCATTGTTGGTCCATTTTTGCACATGTCAGCATGGCGTGTTCCACTCTGTCAGGAATCCTGTATGTGGGGCACCCGATGTCATAATTTATGTCATTACATATTAATTAATACGAATGAAGATATTATTTATGAAAAATGTAAGAATGCCCCACCAAAACTCACATTGACAACGAGTTCCCCACCTTTCTTATGTGTTAATGTTTCAATAAAAGTTGTCAAATAGGGAAAAAATACTTGTATCGTCATTATATAACTTAAACTGACATAGTAAAATTTTACTGCTTTAGAATATAGGCTTTATATGGTTATACATTCAGAATACACAGAATTAAATTGATTATAACTATTAGTGTATAACGTAATATAGCATAAATGTGTTTGTGGAGGGTTGTTTACTATAGCAGGATTTTTTTTTTTATTATTATTTATATATTTACAACTGTATAAAAAAAAAAAATACATCTAGTAAATTAGTGCATGGATATAATGACATGACACACATGTTGAGAAACTACCCATTGGTAGCACTCTAATAATATGTCTATATTAGGAGATCATGGGACCATCTTCTTTACAGACTCCTTGGAGGGTTATCAGGAATTGAATAGAAAGCAAGGTGAGAAATAAGAGGTTTGGGATGGTTATGAAGTTTATTATGGAAGGATAGATATCTGGATTGGGCCAAATCTGATACATAAGGAACATTAAGGTCATTGTGGATTTTACAAAGGATTTCGGATTGTAAGGATTGGATATGAGAGGAATTTGAAGGCTTGGTGGAGCCCCATAGCTCAATTCCGTAAGTCCAAATAGGCCTTATTTTAGTCATGTATATGAGTCTTTTGTAATTAATTGGAAGGTTAGAGCGTTTGTCTAGTAAGTGTTGACGTAGTCGGAAACGTCGAGCGGTTTCTTGTCGTTTCAGTCTTATATGAGGATTCCAAGTATGACGTTTGTCCAGGTGGAGTCCTAGGTAACGAATTTGTTCAATAGGAATAAGTGAGGTGTTAAAGGATTCTGAAGGACAGGAAATCATTGGTTTACGGCAAAGGGTGAAGGTAATTTGATGGAATTTATTGGATTTTATTTTAATTCTCCAGTTTTGACACCATTCTTTAAGGTTTGTGATGTGTGATTGAAGGATTTGAGATGCAATTGATGGGTTAACAATAAATAACAATTAATTGATAGGATACATTTTTTTTTTTTTTTTTTTTTTGGGTTCTTCCCTTCCTCGCCGTTAAGGCTATACGGGATTTTCCCAGGCCAGGGAGTGTGGGTGGGGATTTAAAAGACTCCCTCGGCACCGGTACGCGAACTCGTGACTATTTTTATATCATTGGATTCATATGTCAGGTTGCCGGGCAACGGCAGTGCAGTGCACACGCTTTAGCCCATTCGGCCACCCCGCCCACTGATAGGATACATGTGTCATCGGCATATGTGGTAATGCCAGTGTTGGGATGTCAGCTGTATAAATTGTATAAAGGATAGGACCTAGGATACTATTATCTGGAGGAACTCCTGCAGACTGAGAAAAGCGGGATGTATAGACATTGTTGTGATTTATTTTAAAGTATCTATCAGTAAGGTAGGAACAGATAATAAGGAAGTATGTAGATGGTAGGAATTTTCAGAGATTGTACAGCAGCCCCGAGTGCCAAACTCTATCAAACGCCTGTTTAACATCGAGAAAGACTCCCGTACAGTACATTTCGCACTCCGATGCAGAGGATACTATGTCAACCACACGATGGCATTGCTGTATAGTGGAATGGGAGGAGCAGAATCCAAATTGGTGTGTAGAATTTTGAAATTCTTCTTCTTCGTTCTTCCAATTTTGGGAAATAATGCGTGATGTCCAGTTTTCCTTGACCGTCATAAAAGATGTCAGGGGACTATGTGCACCTTTTGGCCAACTTCTGCGTCATTTGTTGGATTTGTTCTCTAGCAGTAGATTTTCTCGGCAGAATCTAGCCGACTCCTACCGTCTTCAGCTCCTTCAGCGGTTCTTCATCGCACACAGACGGATTTGACAGTAGCATCCTCGAGGTCTACACTTAAAATTTCTCAGGCCTCTTGGCTACTCCCCTGGTTTTGAGTGACATCCAGTCTCTAGGTCTTCTCTAGTTAAAGGTACTACCTCTCCTCAGCAACCTGACCCTTTCGATTTTGAAATTTATAAAATCAACTTTTATTTCATTGTATTATTGAAACTTCCTTTATTATTAAAAATATAATGACTATTGATGCAAACGCTTCAAATAATTGGTAGGAGAGTGAGATTTATTAGTTGAAAACAGATAATGTGACATAAAATAAAAATTCTGTACCCCTACAACACAAGAAAAAGGTTCTACGTGGTCAGGATGTGCTGGTTTTATGCCTACAGTTGTGTAAAGAGGCCATTATCACATTCAACTGCTTGTTTTTCCATGAATTAAAAGTATCCACGTTTTAGAGACTAGGATTGCTACAGCAGGGTTTCCCTCATGGCTGATATAACAGAATAAATAATTATAATAATAAATATTATAGTGTCAAGCCATACTTTTGCTGATAATGTTTTATATCATAATATGTTATATCATAACATGCTTAAGATTTGTGTTCGGTACATCGAGGCAGTCTCATGTGTCCCACCTTTACGACGAGTTAAAGTGGCTCTTCCCTTCTTTCCGCAGACAATATTTCCTTGGACCTTTTCTATTCCAAACAATCAACACCTGACACCCTTCCTACATTTAGTCTCCTGCATTTTTAACGCGTGGTCCACTCCCAGAAAACAAGATCCCGTGTTTCCGACCTTTATATCCCTTCCCATAAAACTAAGATGTTTAAATATTCCTTTATTGCCCGATCCACAGCCTTCTGGAATTCCTTGCCATCTGATATCCGCCATGCCTCTTCCTTGTCCTCATTTAAATATCATCTTTACCAATTCCTTCTCACATCCCAAAATGACGTTATACAACAAAATAAATGCTGCGAAACAGATTTTGACTGAGGTGAATGGTTGTTAGAATTGATTGAGTTTTAATTTTAAAAATCAACCCATGCTTATTTTATTTTGTTTTCTTTTCATTTAAATAATGTTTTTTTTTATTTTGTTTTTTCTCAAAATGGTGGTATTTTTACTTGTTTTAATATAATTTCACTCAAGATACTGTATATATTCTTAAATATTGACTAATATAATTTTTGGCTAGATGTAGTTTTTA